ATCTAGTATCTATAGTTTTGTTTATAACCATAGGAAAGACATGCATGATCTTTTGTTTATCAAGAAAACAAACGAAACACCAAAAACAGTTAAGCAACTGGTTATATGATTTTGGATTTTCATCTTGTCTTGACTTTATCTAATTTTTGTTTCCCTTTGGACTAGCAAAAATTTTGTCTTCACTTCATTTGCGTATCAATCAATAATCCTTGTTTATAAACCTGCTGAAGTTGAGAGCTCTCCAGTATCAGGTCTAACCATTTCCAAAATCATATCCAGTTGGTTTAGTATCTGTTTTTTTTTTTTGTAAACTATAGCTATTAAGTGATGCAAGAAAAGAAAAATAGGTTGGGTTATATAGTTAGCACCAGTGTAATAGTTTGCATCTACGTCATGAAAAGCACTTCATTACAGAAAAGGTCTTCGTAAAGGCCACTCCTCAGCTGGAGATGAGTCCAACTATCGCTGGCTAATAGGTTATCGGCGATCAGAAATTACCTTCTATAGAACAACGTAAGCGTCATGGACCTAATGGTTCTGACATGTGGGGATGAAACGTGTGTTTCATGAACATTTTTAAGTTCACATGTTGCGGGTTTAAATATCCCTCAGCTGTAGTTCACGTCAAAAGGCGGGTTTGAATAGTTCGGTATTTTCTTACGTACAATGACTTTGTTGAACGTAACAAAAGATACAACAAGCACCACCATGCCTTTTAATGTTTCTTGATGTGGTCCTTTCAGCGCGTTCATGATAGAGCCGCTTGCAATGATACAGAGAATGTTTCACCCTGGAAACCATACAAGACAAAAGGGCACGCTGCTACAAAACGTTTTCATTGACGTCAATCCCATTATATTCTCTTTCGTGCGTATCAAATTCTAGTCAATCAGAACGAGTAAATGACGATGAAAAACACTCATGGGAAGAACAATGATGTCTTCTCCCTTCTGTTTACAGTCTACTATTACCATAAGGTCTACCCTAACGGTGTTTTCCGTTATTCCAGGTAGCTTGAGAGTTGGGTGAGACAGCCATGGATTCCCGTTGCCTGCTGCTTCTGCTCGCCGCCATCTCGCTCCTTGTTTCCGGCACAGCGGCCATCCCCTTCCGAAAGGCGTACCGAAACAGCGCGGTGGACGACAACCTCCTCAAGGCCCTCCTCCGCGTGCAGGAGCTGGAGGAGGAAAAGGCTGCCGAAGAGGAAGCTGAGGAGGCCGTGGCGGAAACGATAACCAAGCTGCTGGATGAAGAGGAGGCGAGGAGAGAGGAGGAGGCTTTAGCCGAGGAAGCGGCGGCAGAGAGAGCAGAGGACGCGCGCTTCAACCTGCCGGCTTACGACTTCGAGTATCCGGAATACGAAGATCCTGAAGAGATCCCTTCAAACGACATCAATGGCGAGCTGTATGAAC